ATTAGCCACCAGACTGCTCTGGCGCACGTTGCTGTCCACCTAGACCCGCTAGATCAAAGTTTCTTCTATTCTCCGATGGAGTCCAAAATCTGATCAAGTGGTCAATTATCACCGTTGAGTTTCTTCTGTCCGATTGTGGTACCAGTCCTTGCGAAGCGTCATCGAAGATACTGTGCTTCAACAGCTGTTGTGCGTAATGGTGTTCCACCGTTTATCCTTATGGCCTGTTCTACGCAACTAGCACCCGTTTTAACACACCTTGTTGGCCTATACTTCAGCATCGTCAAGATGCCTGAGGTGTGACGTGCTGCTCATATCTTTACTGCCCATAAAAAGTCGAATTCTGATCCAAAATTCCTTCTTTTGGTTGCTTCCTCATCCGCACCTCTGAAGACGACTGAAAGTGTTTTCCTACATATTATTGCGCCATTCTCAACCACTTTCTCAGACCTGCACATAAGGTCAGGTGCATTATATCGTATGTTTTTGTTATCATCATCCACACCGCTCTCAGAGGCCTGGACTGGGATTCTTGGATGTATGCATGCATCCCGCATAAGTGCTCAATCTTTAGTACAGTTCCTTAAGATGCGCCCCCCAAAAATATCTGATTGCTACTCATCTGTCTGTTTGCCTGGTAGCCCGCAGATTAGCCCTCTTTTCAAACTCCATTTGTCCACTCTAGAAATCGCAAATTTGTCCTTCTTTCCATTATCTGTGGAACACTTGGACGTGCCATTCCACTTAACGAATGCTTGTCTTATATATTTTTATAATATTGTTGTTAATCATCCTAAAATAATGTTTATCACCAACTTTTTATGAAGGGCTTGGATAATGCCTCAACAGGGACATCAGAAAACGGTTTCCAAACCATCAGTCAAAGTCGTTTCCATGTTTCGTGTTTCAAGGTTGTGGCTATTCACAGTCCCGTGTCCATTGTCATGTTTCCGAAAGAATTTCCGCATTTTCGATGCCGTTAATGGGGTAGCGCGTCACTTACGGGGTTGTAGCCCCATGCTGAGAATATGATGTCCTTAAAGAGCATTTGGTGACCATTTTTCTTAATTAAACCAAATGATGTACATTTTCCCGCACTTTCCCTATTGCAGATGTGGACATGGTCAACTGCCTTAGAAGTCCTCTTCCCGTCTACCCAAAGCAATTACTTTGCCCGCAACACCATCATATTAGGTTAACGACTTTTGGTGCGTTTCGCCTTGGCAGTTAGTCATCCTGCCCCAGAATTTGATGTCAAACGCCTATTTCGAGCCTGTGGGCAACCCTCCTTGTGGATGGCATGAGAAAGCAAGTGTCTTTCTTGAAGTGCAAAAGCTGTGACAAAAAGTGGGGGCACTGGCTCCGCCAGAGTTTTACGTGCCTTCGCTGACAGCACTGCCCGAGTTAACGTTCGCTCTAAGTTCAGGTGCAGGTTATTTCAGAGGGCAGCCTCGTCTTTCAGTTCGCCTCAGGACTGATAGAGCACTGACACGTTTCTAGACGGCTCGACTATTTCCGACTGCCCCCAATGTTTACGTGGGACTTTTTTTCGAGTATCATTGTCTTGAGTAGAAACGTAGAATGGACAAGCACGGGAATTATCTTGTTTATTCTGAGCTTTAAAATTTTTGCAGGAGTCTATAGTCAGAGGTAATAGCAACAACGGAACGAGCAACAGTCATGGGGAGAGCTAGCCAATCATTGATCGATGATGTAGGACTGCGGGCGACCGTTCAGGGCTCCGTACACCGGCACCAAATCGATATATCGAGATATATCGATATATGACTGGGTTCTCATCCCATGCCCACGTTTTAACCAATTCTTGGCCTGTTTTGCTTCCAACTTGGACGATTATTTTGGTGGCTGCGAAGTTGGACTAATGACCCTTCCGTCGCCTTTAAATTCCCCCAGAAAGTAAATGCGAACTTGGAGTTGTTCAGTATATTCTAACGTCTATAGGCGCAGACCGAAGTCTGATATATAAATATTTGGTCCGAAGTCCATCAGCCACGGCAGGATGACCGCGTTATATTCATTAACTGTCGAAAGTCAGCTAGTAGTATATTTTAGGGATACAGGACACCATTCTAGCAAGTACCTATGCTACTAGAGCGGTATCCTGTAAACCTAAAAATGACCCATTTCGTAGGTTTGGGCATTCACTTGTGATAATTCGTCGTCTCTTCGCACAACCAGCCTATGGTCGTGTATGCGCGATCCGAGCATGCGTCCAGTCTGTCCTATGTAGTTACAAGGATAATTTTGGCACGGGATACGATGTATCATCACAGATTGCCCCTCTGAACTTAACTGTTCTATTATTTTTATGACCATGCTACGTACAGTGGCTTTGAGCCAGTGTGCAATTCAAGCACTTGGTCCCGCAGTCCTGAGAAGTCTTTAATGTATGGCAGAGAATACAATATTCCTAGCGGTGTCGCTGTTTGGGTTCCGAGGGCAGGAAGGGATGTCTGCGACTCCTATTCTCCTACAATCGGACATTTGAAAAGTCACTGCTGAAATGTCGTTCAAGTGTTTACATATGACTCCCTTCGAAGTCAACAGTTTAAGCGCTAATACCAGGGCTTCAAGAGAAACATAATAGAGGGACGAGGGTTTCACGTAAACCAATTATTTATTGGAACGTTCGCAAGCTTGCATTTCTGCTAGCGTATTTTAACCTGATACTACACAGAGGTTAAAGACTTCTGAAAGACACTTTGCTGCTTGCGGTTGATCGTCCGGAGAGTCATAACTGCTTAGACATCTCCGTTTATCCATTAAGAATATATGTGCCTCTCCTAATTCCATATGCCTGGGAACTGGGGGCATTTATCGTGGCGGAATAAACAGTTTGAATGGCTGCCGAAGATTATAACTTTCCTTATTTATCTTCCGACGTCCCATAATACCTGTCTGTCTTGGTTAATATTCCTTAGTGTGGAGGCCATCTGGACTCTTCAGCATGCGTGTGTAGGAGTGAGAAGGTCGTTTGAGAAGTGCCTGTACCACAAAGGCAATGTAACACCTGCTTAGTTTCCGAGAAATGCATAAAGGTGGCAGAAGTTGGCTGCAGGATAAAAGCTCATCATAAATAGCCGACAACATTAGCTATTCATATCCGCTGACTGACAGTTCAAGATAGATGGTCAACTTGGACACGTACACCTCTTCTGCTAACTTGTGTCCACATTTCTCATCGAAAGACCAAAGCAACAACTGGCTCGACGAGACGCGAAGACTAATTCAGACTCCAGCAGTCGTCAGCAGTGGACGCGAGATCAGTCAAATGATAAAGCAATGACAGTACGCAATTTCTGTCTAGACAACCTTTCATAAGGCACTGAGACACAGTACTCAAGTGAGAATAGCCGCAGACGAGGAAAAGAATGTAATAGCCATTTTATGGCTTATTAGCTTTCACCAGACAGTCATAACGTGCCTCCAGGTTGACTCTTGAGACCTGAACCCGAGTGGGTTGACTTTCAAGCTTGTGTACGTCAAGAACTCGGTCACTTGAACCGTAGGTTTACGTCCTGTCGGTCGCAAGCGGGAAAATTTAGCCCAGAAGGGGTGGCGTACACAGATCTACCCTGATTTCGAAATGGGAATAAGCCTTCGCGTTCCACCTGGATCCACATCTAATACCCCCGCAGACGGTAGCAGAGTGACGAACAGTCTTCTCTTTTGTTTGTTCTTGTCTGTTTGTTTTCCGCCTGCTGTATGTGTTTGTCCTTGCTGAAGATTAAATGCTATTCTATTGAATTTCTTCTGTTGCCTTTGCTTTTTGCTATTCTTGCCTGCTTGCTTCTTGTCTGCTTGTTTGTGTCTGTCCCTGTCGTAAGCTAAATGCCGTTCTGTTGAATTTTTCTGCTCACCATCTATATCTCAGCAGCCAGTTAGCCTAGAGAGGGACGGGAAAGCTCTGCACCCCGTCTCTGCACCCTTCCCTCTTCAAGCTTACGACGGTGTCGTAGGCAGTCCCAGGCTAGCTGGGGTCACTATCCCACTAAACAAAAGTCGTGGCCCATCGTGGGGTTCAACAGCCGCCTGGGACAATTTGGCAGCCCTTTTTAAGGAGAGAACTTCTCAACTCCGCGAGGGGGAAGGGGCTGGGAACGGTGTCCCAAAAAAATGCTAGGGACCCACGCCGTCTGCAAGCTGACCTTTGCCTCAGACGCAAAACATACTATCGAAACAACCAAACCAGAAACAATACTCTCCCTTTTTTCCCCTCCTCCTCCCCCCGCCCAACTCGCCAGACTGGTAGGGTGAGTCTGCTCACTCTCACAGCCTGAAATGTTCACTCCGTTTTAGACAACTCGAGGAACAATCGGCCGGAACGGAGGACGGGAGCTGGCGCGCTACAAGGTGGACATCGCTGTACTCAGCGAAACCCGGTCCTCCAAACAAGGCCAGCTGGAGGAGGTGGGTGCCGGTTACACCTTTATCTGGAGCGGTTGTCCCAGGACAGAGCGACGGGACGCGGGCGTCGCCTCTGTCATCCGGAATGACATCGTGGGACGTCTGCCCTGTCTGCCGCAGGGTACAAACGATCGCCTCATGAGCCTCCGCCTGACTCTCCAGGGAGAAAAATTCGCCATCCTCGTCAGCGTCTACGCTCCGCCGATGACCAGCCTGACGAGGCGAGGAACAAATTGTACAAAAACATACACGCCCTCCTGACGACTGTACCGAAGGCTGATAAGTTGATTATCCTTGGTGACTTAAAGTCCGTGTCGGCACAGACCATGCTGCCTGGAGAGGAGTGCTACGTCCTAGTGGTCTAGATGGCTTCAACAACAATGGCCTGCTCCCCCGACAAACCTGCACAGAACAACGGCTCATCGTGACCCACGCCTTTTTCCGCCTCATGACGCGAGAGGAGGCTACCTGGATACACCCTCGGTCGAGGTACTGGCACCTGCTGGACTATATTCTCGTCCGGAGGCGAGACAAGCGGGACGTGCTGGTGGCAAAGGCGATCTCTAGTGCCGATGGGTGGACCTATAATCGCCTCGTCATCTCCAGAATGCGGATTCGTCTACAGCCTCGCAGGAGACCTCAAAATAAGCGACCCCCAGGTAAGCTGAATATCGCCTTATTGTCTTTGCCTGCTCACTATCCCCATATCAGCAATGAACTAGCTCAACGGCTAACCAGCCTTCCCGTCGCCGCCGCCGCCACTGACGAGAACGCCTGCGTGGAGAAACGATGGTGCCAACTGCGGGACACAGTCCAGTCGACGGATCTTGCCGTCCTCGGTCGCGCAGGCCGCCAACACTAGGACTGGTTCGACGACAACGACGCCGCCATCGGCAACCTGCTCGCCGAGAAGAACCGCCTGTACAAAGCCTACGTCGACCGCCCCACCGACGACAACAGAGCTGCTTGCTACCGTAGTCGCCGCCTTGTGCGACAGCGGCTCCGCGAGATGCAGGACACCTGGATGACCCGCAAGGCCGAGGAGATTCAGGGGTACGCGGACGGAAGCATCCTTCTCATCATGAAGATACAAATCCTACAGTGTTGGGCCAAGTACTTCAGAGGCGTCCTCAACCACCCCTCCACCATCTTCGACGCTGCCATCGCCCGTCTGCCTCAAGTGGAGACTAACTTCGACCTTGACCTCCTGCCCTCTCTCCATGATACCGTCAAGGCCGTGCAGCAGCTCTCCAGCGGGAAAGCGCCCGGATCAGACACAACCCCTGCTGAGACCTACAAGCACGGTGGCCCCCAAATCATCGATCATCTAACTGCGCTTTTCGAGGAGATGTGGCGTCAAGGTGAAGTCCTGCAGAATTTCAAAGACGCCACAATCGTACACCTCTAAATGCGGAAAGGGAACCGCCGGATCTTCGACAACCCCCGAGGCATTATCCTGCTGAACATCGCTGGGAAGGTCTCTGCCCACATTCTTTTCAACTGCCTAAAAAATTATCTAGAACAAGGTCTCCTGCCGGATCCAGTGTGGCTTCCGTCGTCATCGTGGAACCACCGACATTGTCTTTGCCGTCCGTCAACTGCAGGAGAAGTGTCAGGAGATGCGGACCCACCTCTTCTCCATCTTCGCGGATCTGATGAAAGCCTTCGACACGGTGAATCGCGAAAGACTGGAAAATCATGTAGAAATTGGGCTGTCCCGAAAGATTCACTCAGATGGTGCGTCAGCTCCGCGATGACATGATAGCGCACGTCACGGCCGATGGAGCTGTCTCAGATACATTCGCAGCGACCAACGGAGTGAATCAGGACTGCGTCCTCACGCCTACACTCTTCAGTTTCATGTTCTCTGCTATGCTGATGGATGCCTACCGTGACGAACGCCCGAGATCCGGGTCGCCTACAGGACGGACGGTTACTTCCTCAATTTGCGACAGGTGCACTTCCAGTCGCGTGTATTCATAATCACCGCTCACGAACTTCTGTTTGCCGATGACTGTGCCCTCAATCCAACTATTGAAGGAAACATACAAAGTAGCGTGGATTTCTTCTCTGACGCCTGCGAGAACTTCCGTCCAAGCATCAACACGGAGAAGACGGTGGTCATGCACCAACCGCCACCCAACACCGCCCACAATGCGCCGCAAACCAGCGTGAACGGAACCCACCTGCAAGTGGTGGACAAGTTCACGTATCTGGGCAGCACCCTATACCGCAGCACCAAAATCGACGATGAAGTGGTCTGCCGGATTTCGAAGGCCAGTCAAGCCTTCAGGCGCCTTCAAAACACAGTTTGGAATCATCACGGTCTTCAACTCAGCACGAAACGGAATATGTACAAGGCCGTTATCCTATCGACGTTGTTGTATGAAGCAGGGATCTGGACGGTGTACATGAAGCAGGCACGCAGACTCAACCATTCCCACCTCATTTGCCTTCGTCGAATACTGAAGTTGAGGTGGTAGGACCGGATCCCAGATACAGACGTACTGGAGCCAACCGGAATCTTCAACGTTCATGCAACGCTGAGACAACTACAACTACGCTGGGGCGGCCACCTCCGATGGATGGACGACGAGAGGCTACCAAAACGGTTCTTTTATTGAGATGTCGCCGCCGGCTGACAACGTCAGCGCTCAACCGCCTCTAAGGTGTCCACGAGGTCAACGGTCATTTTGGGCCCTAATTTGACTTACTGGACACCTCCGGACCAACTGCAGTACTTGGACTGCAATAACCGTCGTCTATCCGACCACCCCTCCCTCGCCTTTCACGCCGTCAACTAACGCTGACCGCCCTCCCGAACCCTCACTACCATCGTCATCCTCCTTCTCCTCCTTTTCCACCCCTCAACGTCTGCCGCCGTGGCATCTGCCATGCCCATCAACACTATGCACAATCCTGATAAATCAACAAACACCAACACCACCGCCGTCAACACCAGTGACGGGGACCGGATCTATACCTGTCCTTATTGCGATCACACTTTCACCTCACACATCGGCCTGGTCGGTCACTTGCGATTCTAACGCACGGAGACTGGCGAAACAGTGCCTGAAGCATCGAATCACGCTCACCGCATCCGCCTCCACTGTCCACATTGCACTCGCACATTTATTCTCCGCATGGGTCTAAAAGGCCACATGTGCGTCCACGAAAACCTTCGGTACAAGACCGCCGGCTACATCACACCATCACGTCCTCCCTCATCATCATCTCACCGCACATCAACATCACCTATCGCGAGCACCCAACTGCCACCAACCACGCAAGTGGAAAGCGTGCGTCTCGGCTTTGTCTCCATGCGTCTCGTATCCTGCATGCGTGGTCGGAGTCTGAGAGGAAGACGGTGCGTCGAGCACCGTGACTCGGAAGGTAGCCGACTGGCGCCCCAACTCAGTCCACGCAGTCTGTCCAGCTGTGTAGGGGCGGAGTGGTTGGTTGAGATCCAGGTGGTCACGGTCCCTTCTGAAACGATATGTGACGCTCTCATTCATGTGAGGAGAGTGTTTGCGTTTGTATGGGCGCTCCACATACCTCCTAAACGGGCCACGTGGTGGATGCACTGGACCAACACATAGGCCATATCGAATTCTGGCAGGCGTTATCAGATTGCGCACCATAACAAATACCAACATTTCAGGGTGCCGTGGCAAACCCGGTTGCCGGCAGGCGTAGCGCACACTGGGACCCCTGCCGTCCCCCATTTTTTTCGTTGGTCAAAAACCTCGTCATTTGCTGACGTGGACCTGGGGGTATGGAGTGGAGCGCCAAGGTGCGGACTCCACCGTACCAGTCACCTGCGCCCTACCACGCCTCCGGCCTTCTTGACTCCATCATGACACCGGATCTATGCGGAGAATGGGGGAATGGAGAGTGCGGTAGATTTTGCACAAGTCTACTATCACTATAAACAAATAAACGCGCAAGTCCCCGTGCCTCTTGCACTTTGGTGAGTAGCGCACGGTGGACATTTTCGGAATCGGCGGTCGAACTGTCACTTAATAGGGGTGTGTCAAAATTCGGTGGTACCGTTGGGTCCTGCCTCATTCGCTACCTTGGCACTTTCAAGGGCACAGCACTCGTCCGGTTTTATGTGTACAGTTACAGGCATAGTGGAGGCACGGGATGCGATAGTTGAAACCAGATTGGTGACTCGATTTTCACTTAGTTCGCTTTGTGGGACAAATTTCGGCATGGTAATTACAGACCCCGACTTCAACAACAGCGTGTTCAAAGACCGCTGATAAACTCCTGATATCATGTGTGGAGTGTGAAAACCTAAGATCTTATTTTGACTGAACTCTCTGAAGGAGGACGTCGGTATCTTTGAATAGAAATTCCGCGCAAATCGTTCTCAAGGATGACGGGCCTTACGTGTTTTTTTCATCTGAGGTGCTGCAGCGTATCCACACTCTTCCGAAGAGCATCGTCCCAGAGCTTCGTTGACATGCCCTGTGGTGTTTCCCGTGATAGAACCGAAGTGCCACTGAATGCTCCATAGGCTTGGTTTTTCATTGACTGAAACAGCAACTCCTGTGAGGTCAGGTCTACGACTAAGCTAGGGATTTGGATGTCCATTGGAATTCCTTTTCCATGGCCTCAGCGCTCCCCAAGCCTACCGTCTTGTTAAATTAAAGAAAACTTGTCGGACGTTCGCCTCTACCAACGACCTGGTCTTTATTTGAACGGATAGACGCGTAATCCTGCCGGAGACTGGATCCGGGAAACTTGTGCTTGTGTCAATGGTGTGTCCCTCAACATCTCCTCTCATAGAGGTCCATTCAGGCCTAAGCCCTTTAACAACGACAAACAACGTGTACTCGTCAGCCTATGGAAACTCTCTCTCTCTCTCTCTCTCTCTCTCTCTCTCTCTCTCTCTCTCTCTCTCTCTCTCTCTCTCTCTCTCTCTCTCTCTCTCTCTGGCAGCATTCCTTTATTAGTCGATAGCGTCCACACCCTTCTGTAAAATACAACTTGCCTTCTTATCGAACCACGACGGTAATAAATATTATCTCACCATCTCTTGCGGGTCTATCTCACATCCAATTCTGGAAAGTAACCCTGTATCCACTTCGAGCGACAAACGAAAAGAAGAATTAGAAGAGGAGCTCGATGGACCAGAGTGAGCCAAGCCTCTGGCATTTTCGGGTGTTACATGGACTTTAGGTGCCCATAGCGGAGAACAGAATGCCTGCCAATATTTTCACGTAAAAAAGCCCTATCTCACTCGAGGCCCTAAACTGTATTCTTCTTTATGAACTGCTCCGGGGAAGAATTTGTGCCGAAGTACTTCCGCGTGCCATAACCGTTCCCTATTTCGGGCATGAAACCAGCTGTGCCGCGTTATATTTTTGTCAGTGGTTGGAATTACGTAACGATATTTCGTGCGTCAATGGGCGGATGCTAGACTACATTAACGGACAATCGTCGATGCTTACTTCATTCTACATGCGTTTTCTCTCAAAGTCGCATTAATGACAGACCACCCCCACATATCTACCCACGCTCGACACAATAATTGTCGTAAGGCGGTAGCCGAGTAGAAATGTCCTATAAAAGAAAATCACAAGGAATACGATCTCTATGCACCACCGTGTGCGTAAATGAACGAGGCGGTTTTTATTTCCGCCGAAAATTCTTGCTCTCAATTCGATACCCCCAATCTCCATTTTTTCCGGATTACTGCCAAGAAACCTACGGTTCCGATGTGTGGACTCCAAAGACCGTGTTACTCACTAGGATAAAGGGGAAGATGGGTGACACATTGACCTGCCTGTGTGTTATCAAGCGATACGCGCACGCAGCCAGGTGGCGCAGCTCACATCGCCGCGAAGGGCAAGCGCCGTCACCACGCGGGGGGACCATTGTGAGCCAGGCAACACGAACCAGACCTAGCCACGGACGTGACCCCCCCCTCACGGTGCAACGGTATAAATGTTCGCACGTTACTGCACTCTACCAGTCTCTGATGATGAACTCTTGTTCGAGCTCGAAAGCTAAGACCAATAGATCTACCGTTCCAGTGATCGTGCCTTCGTCTCCTTTTAAACATACCGTTTCACTCACCTATTTTAATGCTTTTCCACCCGTCTACTGTTGGTATTTGAGTAGGCATGTTTTGGGCTTAAATGTTTTTATTGTGCTACTGTGCTTGCTTACGTTGCGGCATTCCCTTGCCCAGCGCTGTTCGGTGGCATGCTCCATTTGGTAGTCGATTACCACGGTCAGTGACCTGCGGTTCAGGCACAGTTTTATTTACCGGACCCACCAACTTTGTTTTATGTTTACAATATCTCTTGTCGCTTGAGGTCAACGCACGGTTGCCCTCACCGGGCTCTTCCTAATCCTTGACTTCAAATTAGCTCTTGTGGTGAGCGGTCCACGCAC